CAATTGTCAGAAATATCAGTATATGCACCTGACAAAGGTGTCTTATAAGAAATAAAATAATGAAAACTATGAGACATTAATGCCATTCAGTATTTCGAAAAATTATTTATTTTATTAAGATTAATTAAGCGTAGCATAGTTTTAGCACAAGGCCATAAGTTTGGGTCACGCAGTGAGGATCGAAGTCCATACTCAGAAGTGATGGTCAACCATACGAATCCGTTAACCATGCTGATGCGTACTCGTTTAGATATACAGTTAGGCAAATCAGTAAATCTACAGTTTAATGAAGAAAGAAACATTTCTTTTACACAACAAATATTTATTTGTTCCATCATCTGCTTCCTTGTTAATGCACTTAATTCAGTGGTGAATATTAATAACATATAATGAACATCAAACATTGAAAATTTCAGATCAAAAATCAACCATTAAAACTTATTGATCTACCCTCGTATTGTCATAGGTAGATAAGGATACATACATATGTATAGGCACTGATAGGTAGAAAATCATTCATGAGTCAATACAAGTGATTTTGATCCTCATTGGGTACTTTGTTTTTATGGCCTTGTGTCAGTCTAAGAAAAGTAGACTCACACGCACACACACACGCGCCTTAATGCATTTCTCGTACACAGATATCTATTTATGCTAATCTAAAAGGAAACGTTTTTTCCTAAAAAATCCTTTTTCCTTCCAACAAATATTTGCCAACCTTTTTTTTTCTTTCTCCGTTATGAATTGTTTAGCTTTCGATGTCTTTCAGTTTTGACTTTTTTTCGCGTCTTCCTTTTACCAACTTTTGCCCAGAGTTGCCATAGTTACTTTTGATCTGCAATAATGTTTCACCCAAAACATCTTCGTTGCAGGGCAACCATAACGCACACATACCCGCCAATTACACACACAACCACCAATTATATATATATATATATATATATGTGTACACACAAAACTGCTAATAATATACACATACACACACAAGCACATCTACCTTCAAATTTATGAACGTAAATATTACTTCACTGAAACATACATTGCACACACGGATAAACATTGATGGAGAAAGATCAATATACATACATAGGAAAATACAAATAATAATAATAGTTTATATCTAGTAAAATAGATTCATTCAGTATATTCAAAACAGAAAGAAACAGTCACTCATCAATTTAATTATATAAACGAAGCGAGAAAAAACTTTCATATAACATTCAAAAATGTATCAGTCACAAATGTGTACCACTGGTAATATATTATAAAATTCTGCTTTAAATTGCGTATTTACTGCCATATATATATATATATATATATATATATATATATATATATATATATATATATATAAAGATATAGTATAAATGTTTTCATATATAACGCTGAGGAAAGCATACCAAATTCACAGAAACAAAAAAAGAAAACAATACAAACAACGTTGATAAAACTCGACACCTAATACTACTTAGAAAATTGATAACGACTACAACTGAAAAGAACTGATCTAAACATAAAATTTATCAAAACTGCTTAAAAAACAAGAGCAGAAGAAAAACAAAGTAAAATATCATTAAACCTGAAGAATGAATTTACAAATCGAGGTGCAAAAATGTCTCTAAAATACTTAGGTATCTCACCTAAAATTAAAAATTTAAATAAAGCATATAAACATAACATAGATCTTTTAGAAAACAATTTACTTAATGCATTAATCGTTCATCGTAATAAATCTGAACCATAATTTCAATTTAAAAAAAAAATTAATTTTGATTAAAAGAAAAAGTATTTCATTAGGTTGAAAATGTATCGGAATCCAATACGGTAAATTTGCGTCCAAGATAACATATTTTCTTTCCTTTCAAAACTAAAGCTGATACAATATGAGATGATTAAAATAAGTAGCAAGAAAAATGAAAACAAAAGCAGTAAAAAGCTGAATGAAATAAGCCAAATTAAACAGTTAGATACACACACCAGACATCAAGAATTTCAAGCTAAGCTTTTCTGTATCTTTAACGTTTCGATGTAAACCGAAACTGAGGGTTATCGTATTTACTTACCGTTGCCCCTTGAACTTAATAAATCTGCTATTTGTCTGAAAAATTTCATTCGCGGAACAAAACAGATTCCTAAGCATTTTAAAAAAATATTTTAATAGCAAATATCTCAGTTATTGTAATCTTCTCTCAGGGATATTCAACAATCCGCATTTGAAAACATGATTTTCTTATTCTGGACATTTTTTTTTAGATATATCCTAATGATTTCTCTCTCTCTCTCTCTCTTTCGACCTCCGAAAATTTCAGCCAAATGAGGATTTACCTGAAAAAATAATGAGGTATATCAAAATTTTAAGGTTCGGTGCCATCAAAATTGCTAGTTTCTTTGTTGGTTACTGACTAGTTAAAGAAGTGCCTTTCTTCTGGCTGCTCTAGCATAATAACATTTGTTACCTAGTAATGGTAGATTAAAAATCTGTCTCTTTGCTTAACTATCTTGTTTGAAACAGAATGCAGTAAGGTAGTGGATTGAATAAACTTCTACTCTTTTACACAAAAGAAGTGAAAATTGAAGTCTACACATAATTTTCGTATCAGAAAGGTTTATAAATACTAAGTAAATTCTGAAAATTACAAGAAAATCTTATTAAAATCACTGAAAACAAAATTGACGAATAGAGATAAAAACAATCTGTTTTGACTGATGAACAATCAAAAAAGGCATTTCAACACGAAGTGTATAATTCCAAGGTTTGGACAATTGAACTTATTATTTTATTATTTTATCTATAAAGTTTTGACTTTCTGCAGATCTACAAATCCTTAAATGTCTCCCAGCATGATAAATCAGAAGATTGTTGTAAGTAGAAAATATTCTTTTGTTACTTTTCTTATGTTACAAACACAAGCAACAAGAACACAGTGTTCAGTAATCTGATCAACACATGTAATAATAATAAATCATTTCGGAAAGAAAGAAGTATGTATTGTAAAACACTTGTAAAATCAGATGCTTTTGTATAGAAAAAATACAGCAATAATATCTACATTATGACAAAGAACAAAACTGAAACAAAAATAGTTAAAATCTTTAAAACAATTCAACTACTTCCGGTAGAATTTGAAATTGCAGAGACCCATTGACAAGTAAATGTGACGTATGGTCTCATTGAATATTTTTCACGCGTCTTGCCCGGCCATTAAATCTGCCACTTCCGGTAGTTCTGTTTTCTCCAGCTTTAGCACGTCACGTGACCACAGCGTCTTAAGTCATTTCGTATTCTGCAACATGCGCACACCTGAGTTCTTTATCGGCGACAATTTTATTTCATTATTGCTTTAAAACTTAGTGCGCATGTGCACCGTTCGCATTGATAGTTTTAATGGCGAGTAGTGCACACGCTCTTTTGTTTGTATATAAGCGTTTTCTTTTCTTTTTTAAATGTAATGCGTTCATTGTCCTAAAATTTGGAGGAAAAACCCGCTTGTATTGTTTGTAGATATGTACTTGCGATTATTCCAATAGCAGATGGATGATAACATGTGCGGGGACGCATTATAAGAGAGCTACGCCTACAATATATGTATATGCAGTTATATAGTTTTATCATAACTTTTTATGGGAAACATAAATAATGATTTATGTCTATATGTGCTATGCATGCTAAAACGTGTGAACCTTTTCATAAGGTGTTGTATATCAATATTTCTCTCGACTGTAGTATGTTTTCTGAAAAGACCGATAATTACTTACATTTTTACCCTCCGACTGTATGATTTAAAAATTTCCTTTAAACATCATATATGTCGTATATATAATATATAAAGTATATGTTAATATACAATGGGCTAAATTTATAGGAGAAGAGTGCTAAATATCAGAGATAGAAGATTTATACGTAGAGACTTGGTATGAAGATCCCATTCAGGCGTGAACTGACAATTACAATACATAGTGGATTCTTATTTCCACACTATCCATATATGTAATAATAATAATAATAAAACTACTGGAGATTAACGCGTTTAAAGTCGAGCAGATTTTTTGTAAATAATGTCAATATTAAAGATATAGAACAACAATAAATAATAAATAAAAAATCCCATTGAAGAGATAATAAATATGATCTTTGAAATTTCACACACTCGTATGTAACAATTTAATTCCTGGAGTGGTGGTCATGTGTAAGCTAAATTTGTTTACTTATTGGTTGCTGTCAACCTCAAAGTACTTTCCTTATGAAGCTAAGCACTTCATCAAACAAGAATCAACAAACATTTTTTAAATATGCATTTAAGAATACGGGCTCTTAGACTATAACTATTTTTTGATTAATAGATGTTTGCATAAATTAAATTTTAATGTTTTCAATAATTTTCAATATATTTTACAATTGGATTTATGGAGTATTTTAATATCGTTGGAGAACAACTGTTTAATATTATTATAATTCTTCTGCTGCTTGTTAATGTTGTCTAATTGCATGTTGATCAGATGTCATGTGTGCTTACGTGAAAAAGTGGTTGATGTGTAAACTATATAAGACATTTTATTTACAGATGCAATCTCCATTTTGACAAATGAATTCATAAGCTTATGGACTGGGTTGATGGGCTGAAAGATTATATTTGACAATTAATTTACTATTTTTCAATTTCTTAATGTAAATGATAAAGCTGAAAACACTCAAAATACATTCATGGGAAAAACATTAAGTTCACTCGGTGTGTGAACTACAAATGAATTTGGCTATTATTTTTATCTATTCTGTTCATTAATTCACTCACGTTTCTTTGTTTTACAGGCAAACCTGAAAAAAACTGCGAAAAGAAATTTTCAAAGAAACAAATACTTTCGATTTTTAGATAAAAGTATATGAAGAACATTAGCTCGAATCTCTGAATGTTCTTTTCAAAGAATTTTGTACCCAAATATTATTTTTGTAAACACTGTTTTGTTTAAGTTCTTTATGCTGACCAATAATTTCATAGTCTTACCTGATTCTTGCAAATTACAATTATATGTTCGGGTTCTGGCAACAGTTTCGTACTGTTGGTGATCAAATTGTCCTTGTTGAGACCCGGAAAGCGGTAGGATGTAAACAGGCGGTAATACTGCTCCATACATAATGGCTGACCCTTACGGTTGCTACGTGCACGGTCGATCGGTAAACTTCGGCTTTAAAAAAAAAGAAAAAGAATAAAGAATAAGAATATTAATTACCACTGAGTAATTTGATAAAGTTTTTTTTTGAGGGGTGGGAGGTGACGGGTTTCTTGATGTCCCACAGCGATATCTGAATTTCTGAAAGGAAAAAAGTTCTCTAAGATAATTACGACTAATTACAATCACTAACCACAATCATCGACTTTATAACCACTTGTGCATTAGATAATGAGGAAAATGGTGCAGATGATAATGCAGAGTTATAAGACAAAAAAAATGATATGAAGATGTTTGCATAATGAACTTTGAATTTTGTGGTATTTTGAGAATAGAACGGATTCAATTATAGAACAAACAAATCATTAGAACATTAAATGGAAAAGACCATAATAAATAGCTTGGAATATTGAAGTAGAGATTCTTCTCAAATCATAGCGACTGGTGCGAAAACATAACGAGTATTCAAAGTAATAATTGTTGGTGAGGAAAACAAATCCGTATTCATCTTACGAAACCGCCTTCTTTTTCTCACTTGATTTTTGTCATGAACCCTTCAATAAATATGGTTTTAATTAACTTCATAATTTCTAGTTTGCAACCATTTTAATTATTACACACAACATATTTGATATTTTGAAGATACTAGGGTGGAGAATCTTACAAATATTTACTGTAAATAATAAGAAAATGGAGTAAAAATTTATACATGGCGATAAAATTTATCTTAGAAAGATATTGTCAGTAATTGTGCTTGTAATTTTATTTCTTTTCGTAGACTTAACATAGAGTCTATTTTAATTCAATCTTTTCTTTTCTTTTTAGCAATAAGCATCTTATATTAATTTATTATCATTTGCAAAGATTGAATTTTAAAATATTGCTGCAAAATTCTTATTTTCTCTTAATGGCAATATGGTATTAAGTATTTTTTTTTTTTACCGATATTCAAGCTATCTTCAGCAAGGGATTTCTATTTTCATTGTTTTGTGCTAAACTTAATATTGGACTGGTGAAAAACCTTTCGATTTAGTAATATTAATTTATTTTTAAAACGTTAACACTACCATGTTTATCATTTTCTTCCACAATCCTTTGCCACTATTCTTTCAACTTAATTACATTTTTACCTTTCATCAAAAGAAGAAATGCCTAATATTTACTTGCATCTTTAATAAGTAAAACAATTCAGTTTTGTTTGAGGTATTTTAAAACTGTACGGGCTTACAGCCACACCAGTTCCCGTACGAACAAGGAAGTTAAACAATGTTGACCCTGGTCAGCACCTAGCTGGGTGATCGCTGTAAGCTTGTATATGTGGGTGGTATATTAATAGATAATGGCTTGGAATTGTTAATTTGAGACCTGAATTCCGATTCCACTTGTGTTCGTTATATTCACTTACGCGCATTTGCTTACTCTTGGGAAAAATATGAATTTAACTTTTCTCCCCAGTTATGGGTTAATTAGTAAAACACGCATCACTAAATCATTATCTAAAAAAAAAATTCTTACAATTTAAAAATATGTTCTGCTTTAAATAACCTGAAGTTTTATTTTACAATGTCATAAATATCTACAGTAATCTTTTCTTAAATATCTTTTCGTAATATTAATCTTTTCGTAATATTAATCTTTTCGTAATATTAATCTTTTCATAATATTAAGCCGTAGAAAACAAATCAACCAATTAAAATTTTAAATTTTGCTTGGTTGATGTATGCTGTTAGGAGAATCCAATGCCAAAAAATGTCCTACAGTCAGTTCAACTTGAAGTAATGAAATTGGTGTAGCAAATAAATTTACAAATTTTTAGTTCGTTTAAAAAACTTATTTCTCCTAGAAATTCTCATCGCGCAAAAAAAAAAAAAAAAAAAAAAAAAAAGATGAATGTTTCAGGTACTGAAAGATACCATTCTGAAGTTTTAACATTATATTTGTATTGACTTAAAAAATTACTTTCTAATAATTTTGGCCCGGCAACTTTATTGCGTGAAGGAATAAACCAGTGAGTGTTTCAGTGATGTTGCTTGCCATTTTGACGTCTTTTGAAGTAGTGTAGCATTCCTTTGTTACTATACTATCGAGTTATGTTGGAGTGGATCAGGGAGACGTGGGTTAAGTGGGAGTTTGGACGAAAGGTTAGTCGAAGTAACATGATAAAATATAGTGAAACACAGCAGACAGCGAACAAAACCTTGGCATCACCAACACTCGTCTGCCTGAAACACACACACGCACACATATAAAAACTCGTTATTTTAAAGGTTATTTTTAGCGGGTCCACTGTGTTTGAGTAGTAATCCTGTTTATTATTTTTTTTAAACAATACGAATTTCACCAACCAATCTGCATCTTCGAGAAACTTAATACATACTTTCCGACAGGGTTCAAGCCTGTGTTACCCTTTCTGGGTGAAACCACAATCAGATCTGGCGGACTTTAGACCGATCAGACACAGTGTCTACTTAAATAAGGTGTATCCACTAAAATAACGTTTTTAGAGTAATAAGAAATAATGCTGGATTATAAAATCCATTAATTCATATATATATATATATATATATATATATATATATATATATATATATATATATATATATTGGGGCGTGGCAGAGTGGTTAGAATGATCACTTTCTGATCATGAGACTCGGGGTCCATGGTCGATTTGTCAGGAAGTAGATGTTATCGGAATGAATCTAGGTCGAAAAGAAAGTGCCTGAAAATCGATAGCTGTGCTAGCACAAAGCCACAAGTCATCGTGAGCGAGGGTTTTAGCATTCTGGCCTTGTTCAAGTAACACGCTTTCTCCCAGAAACTGTAACTAAGGTCTGCTCAACATACTTGCAATATAAACCACAGGTGGGCTCTGTGGGTGTTGAGTGACTGAGCGAGGCGTTTGCAATAGGGATTGGCTAGCCGCCCTCGTAGACTTGTATTCTCGAATACGAGTGACCAGCTATTATATATATATATATATATATATATATATATATATATATATATATATATATATATATAGTTGCATGGATTTTAGTTTGTAATCCCAGGTCACACGCTTTCGCGATCTTCAGACAAATTAGCTCTATCACAGATATTGAGCCCTTTCCACTAAATACCGCGAGCGCGTACACACACACACACACACACACACACACACACACACATACATATATATATATATATATATATATATATATATATATATATATATATATATGTACATCAAATCAACTCTAGAATTAATCCAAATCCTAAAAACCCGATAAGGAAACGATAGTCTCACTTCATGTTGAAAATTTATTCACCAATGTCACAGTTAGAGAAACGGTTGACCTAATTATAAGCAATATATACAATAATCCATCTCTCCTTCCATTAACAATTAGACTCAGCTTATTACGGGAACCACATTTAACTTGTATTATTGCAGTTCCATTCTTTGACCACAAAAGCAATATATATGTACAACATGACGATGTTTCTATGGGTTCAGTCCTGGGTCCAAATTTTAGTAACTTTTATATGGCTAACCTCGAAAATAATATATTTAATATTTAAAAAAAAACCTTCATCTACCTAAGATATGTTGATGATATCCTCATCTTAGTAAAAATAAAAAACATTGATGAAATAAACAAACTACAAAAGTTGAGAGCAGTACTTTTCAGAATCAATTGACTGGTTTCTTGGCAGAAGCTCATAGTACAGGATCCCTTTCCAATCCAACCAGATGCCGAGTATGACTTTCTTAGGATGAAGACCTGTTTTTGAGGTGACTAAAGTTGGCTCATGTCGCTTACCCCAGAATCATTTGCGCTGAACATTGCTGTAAACGACCCATTTCTCATCACTCGTCACAATTTGCTTAAAAAAGTGTGCATTTTCTTTGCGTTTGTACAGCAAATCACAGATGAAATGCGAATCAAAAGATTCTTTTCACTCAGATCATGTGGTACCCAAACATTGTAGGGATTTGAGTACCCAAGCTTCACTAAGCGCTCATGGATGACGGAATTTTTTATAAATTTAGTGTTTCTGCGCTGCTTAATGCAGGTTATTCCCAATCAATGTCTTGATTTGATCGTATCTGTAGTGGGGTACTTCCAGAGCGTTCTTCATCAATAAGGCTGCACTCTCCGACACTAAACTTCCGTAAAGTTGTGTTAGCTAAAGCAACGTCGCCGCACACAGCACACATCATTTTTGTTGCTTGCGAGACATTTTTGCCTTTAGGGTAAAAAACAAAAACAAAAAACAAAAAAACATAAAAAAACCCAAAAAACCTCAAATGTCTAAAATACACCTTATAATCTTCCATTTTCATACAGATGAAAAATTGACTCAAATTAAGTAATTTTAAACTTTCTTGCTCAGAGATAGTTTGCAGAGTGCTCTAATCGGAAAGGTTTGTCGATAAATTTGATGTGTTGGAACATGAATAACTAAAAATTGGCATGAATTTTTCGGACAACCCTATATATATATATATATATATATATATATATATATTTATATATATATATATATATATATATTTTATATTATTAAGGGCTCCATCCATTTTATACAAGTGGACTCGCCCAGTGTGTAGTTGTACTACTGCCGGTGAATACCCGGGAGTGAGAGGAAGTGAGACAGTGAGAGATTGAGAGTGTGACGTAACCGCTTTGTAGGAGTCACAGTTGCGAGCACGTAGACTCAGAAGGAAGTCCTACTTCGATACTGAATTTCCCAGACTGTATATATATTATTATTGCTACTAACCACATTTCTGGATCTACTAACCGTATTACCAACTGTATTATTACGTCAATACATTTATTTGCTATATTTCATTCCTGCGTTTGTCATTCATTTGACACCGGATTTCATCCCGGAATCCACACACACACACACACACACACACACACACACACACACACACACACACATATATATATATATATATATATATACTGGATGTAATAGCAAAATATCCAGATTGCGTGACAGCATATTTGTCCATTCACAAAATTTTCAATATCTAAAAGACCACTAAACTAATTGAGTTTTCCAGGTTTTCAGATGAGATATTTACCCATCTTGACACCATTTGTTGTAAGAATCAGTAAAAAAAACCTTTGAGTTATTCAGCTATAAAGAGAACAGGTTAAAATCGTTTTGTATTAGCTCCACTGTCTCCTTAATTGAGCAATGGTGAGCAGAAAACATCATTCAGATCTTCTATAATAATACCAATATTCATACTCTTGAAAGTCCATTCATGAACCATCAAGAGAAAGGTGAGAGAGTTTAAGAAAGAGGGAACAGTAGAGAGGAAAACTGGATCAGGAGGTCACAACAGGAAGAGGGGATCATCATTCCAACTTATTAGAGTTAAAGAGATCAAGTAGAAGATCTAACTCATTCCAAATCCATAGAAAAGGAGTTTCAGCTATGACAGTCGAAAGAGCAGTGAAACAGACTTGAAAATGAAATCGTACGTGAAACCTGTGAGATATCTTGTTACTGCAGAATAGAAAGTTAGAAGGTTAGACAGGGCGAAGATCATCTTGAATAAGTTGTAAAATGATCCTGGAATAACACACACACACACACACACACACACACACACACACACACACACACATATGTATATATATATATATATATTATTTGAACTTCATTTCAACACCCCATGACCTGATCCTTAGCTATGGTTAATTAATGATGAACATATCATTCTTGTTTATGACCGATTACATCACGATTCTTCTGTTAAGCTTAGAGAGTAATTATATATTCTTATTGCTCAAAGCAGATTCCAGTAGTGTTATAAAAACCTCGGAGAATTCCAGTATTTTATTGTTACACCTGGTATATATATATATATATATATATATATATATATAATAAATTCTAATAAATAAATTCTAATGAGCCAGTTCACCCTGATGATCCCATGAGGTGAAATCTAGGCAGGTAGTACCTGGCTCATTAGGATTTATTTATTTTACTTTTGCTCTACTTAGCGTATTGAGCACTCTTCGTTTTAACTTATAACTCGCTGTTTTTTTTTCTTTGTACCAAAGATTTAAGGAACTCGACGATGATTTCTTTCGCTCTCTTCTGACGTTTCTGGTTCTTAACCTTTTTTTTCAAAATTTTTTCCTCGGATGCCAATTTGTTTGAAAATTGTGCTATCCAGGTTTTTCAGCCACCGAGTTTAAATAGATTATATATATATATATATATATATATATATATATATATATATATATCAGACAAATAGTGGGTAAACTGAATGACGAAATGGAAAAAAGGACTTTTTCAGATTAAATAATAATAATTGATAGGATCATATATATGTGGGCGGCGAGAACGAAATGGTAACCGACTTATGTTGCTAATTTACTCGCTACGCACATACGTGCACACATATATATATATACACACACACACACATATATATATATATATATATATATATATATATGTGTGTGTGTGTGTGTCTGAGTGTGTGTGTGTGCGCGTGTTGTTTGCATATGCTGGATACTGGAAAGTTCTCGATCCGACCCACTTCTAAGGGCTTCTTCGTGTATTCGAGAATTATTCAGCACCCCCTTGTTTGTATACTTTTTAATTCGGATATACAATGTATACTTCAGTAAGAATTTAAGAATATCAATTTATTGTATGGATATATTTTGACAGAAAAAAAATGTTTATTTAAAAACGTAAAAGAAAAAATAAACTGATTTTGCGAAAATCTGTAAATTATTGTCCTGTTCAATTTTACATTAGAAAATTAACTGAAGTTGAAAGTTTGCATGGACTATCTGGATTCGTATGTAAACTGATACATCAAGATAGATAGATAGATAGATAGATAGATAGATAGATAGATAGATAGATAGAGAGAGAGATGGGGGAGGGAGAAGAGTAAGAAATATAAATAGACATGCACCTTTTCACTTACGCGTGTAAACAAGATAGTTTGAACTAATTATTGCTCTAAAAACATGCTTTATCATCCCAAGAATACATGTAGCTTACTTCTAAATAAAAACACGCATTTTGTGATTAAAATTTATACACATACACACGCTCATATCTTAATACGGAAACGTTAAAGTATCGACTGGCTGATAATTAACCCCCCGAACGCGCATAAATTCATAAAATATTTATATTAAATATTTATAAATAGATAAAGATTTATAAATAGATAAAAATTTGTATGCATATAAGAAATGCATTCATACGCATTCAAGATAAAAACAAATTATAAATTTGCGATAAAAATATTCATTGTAATGAAGTAAATATTGCTGTATCGACTGGGGTGTATATATATATACATGCATATTCGTATATGAGAACAATGTAGGGAATATATTGCGAACATATGCAAGTATATAGAGGAATGTGAGGTGGAGGACGCTAGCGATCATTATCGACGTATACGGAGGTACATTGATAATTCCATAGCCTTGTTATTAAAGCCTTTAGTTTAGAGAAGAAGAAATACCTTTTTCAACATAATCTCCTTCATTGTTAATAATGTGCTTAATTCAGTGGCGTATGTTAAATTCTAGAACACTCTACAGTGAAAATTTAAGATTAAAATTTAGAAAAAAGTTTCATGTAAGGTTACAGATTTACCAATTCAATAGATTTCTTAGTATCAACACACACGCATATACACACAACGTTGTCTATGAGTGTATACACGCATACGTATATATATATATATATATATATATATATATATATATATATATATGAATGTTTTTCATATATACCATATATACACGCGTATTATGCGACCTTTGAAGAACTAATTTTGAAGCTAATTTGACTACAGTAAATGGATATATATTTTTGATCAACGGAGTAGCTAGGACCAGCAGCAGCACATACGCTAATTTTATATCTCGTGTATGATGCCACACCTTTAAAATTAGTTTCAATATATATATATATATATATATATATATATATATATATATATATTATTACTTCAAATCGTAGATGTCGGATTAAAAATAAAAATCCATTTCTTTAGACATATGCGTGTGTGAAAAATATTAATGTATATATTTATTTCTCGGTCTATCACACCACACATTTCTTTTATCACAATAAATAAATAAATTCATAGAAGTTTCTCTTTATTTTCTATCAAACGCGTGCAAATGCGTCAAAGATAGAAATACGTCTATATCTACCTATATAGATACATCTATGTATTCCTTTATCTCGATTTTTTCATTCTATCTCAGTCTATTCACATCTATCCGCACTCAAATACGTTTTCAGAAAATTCTTTTTTTTTTATTTCCTGCTAGTATTAATGCTCCACATGTTTGCATATATATATAAACATCAGTATGAACATTATTCGGCTCACTTATGCATAAATCAATGTAGGTATAACTTTCCTGATACATACTTGCATGTATTTGCATAAAGATAAAAAAATTCTCTCACTCTCGATAAGTGATTACTCTCGATAAGTATATTATATATATATATATATATATATATATATATATATATATATATATATATATATATATATATATAATATCCACTGCATAATGTCGAATCTGGTATTAATATTCGTCACTGAATTACGTGCATTTACAAGGAAAGGGTCTATCTGGGACAATTTTGTTGTGAAAAATAAATACTGTCTTCATTATGTCGTGCACTTATTGATTTATCTATGCCTAAGTCTATATTTTCATATTATAAATGCTGCTACATTTGTATCGTCGTCGATACGTTTCCTTCTCTTCTCCCTCTGTCTGTTTTGGCCACCTACACTCTTCGTCAACTGGTCACTTTGCAGCTGTGCGTCATTTCAACTTCTAACTTTTACTCTATTTACTCTATTAACAGACACTTGTCAGGTTAAGGAATTTAAAAGGAATAACTAACTTTATTCCGTTCGACGAGATATGTGGGTCAAAAGAGCATGCAAAAGATTTGTCTGTCTATTTATGTCTCTTTGTCTATATTTGTGCCTGTTTATTTCTGTCTATTTATCTGTCTATTTTGTCTGTCTGTTTTATCTGTCCCTTTGTTTATTTATCTATCTCTTTGCCTATCTGTCTTTTTGTCTGTCTGTCTCTATTTGTCCGTCTCCTCTTAGGCGATTAATAGTTGTAATTGTTATCTATGTAATAAACGAGGATCATAAAAAAATTGGGCGTGGCGGATTTAAAGGTTCGAAATGTGCGGAAATGATGATGGTCGGAATGGGTTTTAAATTTTCAAAAATAAAATAAAAACATTCCAACTTCTATTCAGAACCTAAGAAATCTACTTATGCTTGTTTCTATATCAAATTTTATGCAAGTCACTATTTTCACAAATATTATTAATCAACCAATGTTGGTAAAATTTGCAGGACGTACTCATATACGCAAATTATATTGTAAGTATAATGTTATAATATATTTCCTTATTAAAATATTAATAGTAGTTATTTGACAGTTATCATCTCCTGATATATGCAGAGCGAATACATCATAAATAAATATTTACATTAGGAAATAGAAATATATTTAATTCTCACAATATCCCATCTAAAAGCATAACCGTACAAATTTTGGAGATTATAGAATATCAAATAAGGCATATTAAAATGTAGAAAAATCAAATAAAAATAAATTCAAATATATGGAATATTGTGTTAATCAAATATGCTTCTATATTTTGTTTCTTTTGGGTACATTTTTAGAGAAAACTTGTAGTTTGACTGTATGCATGAAAATATACTTATTCATAATATATATTTATCATTGGACGAAAATAGAAAATTTAGATAAGGTTACCCGAAAGGGAATCAATAAATATGTATCCTGACATTTAGATATTAACTGAATTTTGAAATCTTTACAACATAATGGTTAATAGCCACCACTGAATTATGTGCATTGATAAGGAAATTGTAAAAATATTTGGTCGTGTGAAATGATGTTTTATAATTAGGTTCCTTTATATCTATATATAGACATATAAATATCTTTGCATTACACACACACGCACGCACACATACACACGCATGCAGACACGTGTACTGTGCCATCTTAATTAGATTGTGAGTTGCGCGAGCAACTTGTTCTATTCCACGCCTTCTTCAAAAGCACAAATGATGAGCGAATAGGAAATCTTTGTTCATTAGTCCAGAACCAGTGTGATTCATTTTATTATTCGAATTACTGACTATACAGCTTTTGATAAGTGAACCATCAACAGACAGAAGTATACACATGCTTATATACAATGGTAATAAAGTGTACTTATACACATACACACACACACACACACACACACACACACACACACACACACACACATATATATATATATATATATATATATATATATAGAGAGAGAGAGAGAGAGAGAGAGAGAGAGAAACCCAAATAAGCATTCGACAAGTCGGATCACTATGCTGTGATTAATTTTTCAAACACCCTCAAAATTGGATATGCGTATCTGTTTGTTCCTTTCCGTGTCTGCAGTATGTTATAGTTACACGTATAGGAATTTACGTAACTCCATATTATCCTGAAAGTTGTTACGAATCGAAATAGGAATGTGTATCGGTAAAAGTTATCTGAACATTCCAAAATGTTTCAGCATGTATTTATGCATTTGTGAATCTATATTGGATGCGAGGAAAATGAATCCCGCATGGCTAGTTCAATTCCCGCTTAATTCTGCTTCGATCACTTCATACTAATGCTCCTGGAAAAGACCTGAATCCAGCTTCTACCCGCTATGGGTTAAATAAGATTAGTTTTGGCTCTATGTCTTTGAGATGACAACCAATCGAGGAGAAGGCAAACTCTGAATTCAAAACCAGCTTGACGAAAACACACCACTAAAGACCTTGCAGTACTTATTATGACACCAGGGATCTTCTAACCTATTAGGGTCGTTGGGTGACCATAATACTTCGACCATTGCATCAGTGGTGGCTTTTATTTCGTCGTGTGGTTTTCTGTATTTCGTTCCGTACCTTGGCAAAATTTTCTGTCTCCTATGCATCACGTCGAGAATCTCATCTGTGATCAATTCGTTTTTTCTTCTTCGTCCATACTTCTTTGCCATGATATCGTTTGTTGATGTCACTAAAGCTTCTCTTAGTGTGTCCCATTTCGAGATTCCATTTCCATTTTGTCCCTCGTATCTTCTTTTCACACTGTCCACATATTTTCCTTTAGGTTGGGGTCACTCAGGAGTTTGTTATATTGCAATATGGTGGCTGCGTTAGGCTTCTTCAGTTTCTGTAGTTTCATTCTTAGTTTAACAGGGCAATGGTCGCTTCCGCAGTCGGCACGGGTAGGTTTTGTAGTGAACCATTGCATTCCTGAATTTTTATTGATAGTTATGTAGTCAATTTGTTTTTTTTTTAGTTTTTCCTCCTGGGCTTCTCCATGTCTATAATCATCTCGGATGTTCTTGGAACCATGTGTTGACTATTACCTGGTCATTGGCCGTGCACCACTGGACCGATTTTTTACCGCGTTCGTTGCATATTCCTAGTCTGAATTTGACAGCTATCTCCCTTCCTCTCTCCCTGGCTACCTTGGCGTTCAGGTCTCCCATGATAATTATGAATTCTTGTGATTTGCAATGAGCTTTGGCGTTGTCTAGCATAGGAGTAGAAAGATTCGATTTCGGTGCATACACTATTATGATAGGCATGTTGAAATTTTCACTACCAGAATTCTTTCGAATAATTGATAGTATCCCAGGACGCACTACCTGAATTCTTGATCTAGTATCAATCTTACTCCTTTATCGTTTTTCTCTTCATCTGCATATATAATCCTGTGATTATCACTGACAAAATCTCCTTTGTCTGGCCACCTAGTTTCCCATGTATCTGAGATGTTAATATTTATCCTACTCAACTGGCCACAGTTTTTCAACGTCCTAACGTTTCATGTCCCGAGAGTTATTTTTTTTTTTAATGCGAGCAGTCGCTGGATGACGGTGCACGACACTTGTTGCTCTCTTCCGGAAGTTCCAAGGAATTTTATCCTCTTTACGTCGTTTATGCTAGCAGTCACTGGATAACGGCCAGATGACATCTGATGCACATGTTGGACCTTACCTGGCGAGGAGTATACACATCACGAAAATCTCTGGAAAGTGCCTTGATCATTAGATCAGCCACGATAAATTTGCGTCCAGGCTCTTACTCTGTGTAAATTTTCTGTTGTCACAATATGGGATAATTAGGGAAAGGGGTAGAGAGAAAAAGAATAAGAAAAATAATAGAGATGGATTTGGTTAGAATGAAAAATATTCTTTCTCAAATATTCTTTCTAAAAAAATCTCTCGTTTCATGAGAATGTCTAGACATGGCAATATCAACGAAGCCTAATTCCGAAGTGTGTTGTTTGTGTACAGAAAGTCAACATCTCTA